CGGGATGGAGCCCCGTTGGAATGCCAGAGATCCCCCCCAAACCGGAGAATCCCCCGATGTATGCCGGCGTTGGTCTCACCGGCGTCGGGCTGCTCCCCTGATCATCGTGATGATGATGACGACGATGATGATGATGATGATGATGATGGTGTTGCAACTCCTCCACGTCGACCAAACTATTCTCGTCCTCCTCCTCGATGTCCTCGGGTTCTGAACACCTGGACCTGCCCTCGTGCGAGCTACTTCTCGGCGATTGGGAACCAAATTCTGGATGGTTGTTGTGCGTGGATACTTTGGGGGACGAGGAACGGGCTGTCACTTCCGACGTGGAACCACTTTCCGTGGACGTTTGAACTATGTAGTCCAGGGCTCTGGAGCGAGGGGATTCCACCCTGTCGACCTCGATTTCCGGAAGTCTGGTCAACGTCCTTGCGTCTAGAGTGGTTCTGGGGGCGTCACAGGTGTACTGGCCCGATCTGTGCTCTTGGGCGGTGGGAGACATCGACGGGACGTATCTCGATCTGTATTCACCTGGATACTTCTGTAGAACGGTGTTCGACGTCGTGATAGACAGTTGATCGTGTTTGACAGGGGAGTAAGGCGCGAGGGGAGATGATCTTGGAGAGACGGAGGACGTTTCCTGTCTGCTTGTGTCCGACTTTTTAGTGTCTGCCAACAGGGCAGCGACGGAGAAGCTCAATCGATGCACCGGTTTCGAAATCGCCTGGGGCGCCTGGGCCTCGTTGGAACCTGGACTGCTCGATGGAGGCGTCACCGGGGAGGTCATCCTTAGTACTGTCATTCTTATTTACCGCGATTCAACACTTCTTCGAATCTATACCTTTCACCGAAACACTCTCGAACTCTTCCTCGATCTTCTTCCTCTTCTTCTATATTCTCATCTTCCCGAAACATCAAAGGGAGGAATTTTTTCCCTCCCTTGCTTGTACAAGGGAAGAAACAAAAATGTCTCTTCTTTGATCGAACTGTCTCTCTCTTTCTCTATATCTTTCTCTCTCTCTCTATTTCTCTTTCTCTCCCCCTCTCACTGACCCGTCACACGATCTCGTCAACACGACTCGTCGAACCGACAAAAAAGAAAAAAAAGA